CACATTCTAAAGCAGTAATTTCCCACCTGGGTGCCATGAATATTTTTTTTTTTCTTTTCATTTTTTGCCATGAATATTTTTATTTATTTTTATTTTTAAAAAATATATTCTATTGATTTTTTACAGAGAGGAAGGGAGAGAGATAGTTAGAAACATCGATGAGAGAGAAACATCAATTAGCTGCCTCCTGCATGCCCCCTGCTGGGGATGTGCCAACGTACATGCCCTTGTCAGGAATCAAATCTTTCAGTCCAGAGGCTGACACTCTATCCACTGAGCCAAACTGGTTTTGGCACCATGAATATTTTTAAAACATGCAATATTTGACTACTCAGGGTCACTGACCTCTTTTTCCTTAGATTGTCAAATTAAAAAAAATGACAGCAGCTAACAGAACAATAACCCTCTGCTTTAAATGAATCAAAATTATACCTTTTGTTGTATAATTTGTTGTTTGGCAAAAAACCCCACATTTTTTGGTGTGCTGTAGAATCTTAGTAATTAGTTTCTGTGTGCCACAAGATGAAAAAGGTTGACTATCACTGTTCTAAAATATAGAAAACCTCCCCTGTTCAATTCATGAAGCTAGAATTATCCTGATTCCAAAACCTGAAAAATATAGCAAGTACAAGAAACAATAGTGAATATAAATACCAAATCCTAGGTAAAATATCAACAAGTTGAATCTAGCGGTGTACAACATGGCCAAATAAAGTTTATTTTAAGGGTAAAGGGATGGCTTAATATTAAGAAATATATCCAGAACTTATAATAAGACAAAGAAAAAATATAACGTAAATGCATGCTGAAAATATCTTTGATACAATTCAATATCCATAACTGAGTTCAAAAAAAATTTTTTTTACCTTCCCTTGGCAGAATACAAAGAAGCTTCCTGAAACAAACAACATATCAGACTGCTTAACAGTAAAACAATGGGACATGCCCATTAAAATCAGGAGCATGACAAAGTTTCTTGCTGTCACCACTATTATTCAACATTGTTCTGCGAGTTTTAGCCAATACCAGGACAACAAAAAGAGAGAAGAGTAAATATTGGAAAAGGAAGAGCATAGTTTTCATTATGACTCCTCCCTGGAAAAACCTAAGAAAATCTATTAAAATAATATTTAAAAAAATTTAATGATAGCCAGACCCAAGAAAAATATTTAAAAAATCAATAGCTTTCCCCACATAGCATCAATAACCAGTTAGACTATACTATTGGAGAAATACAATAGCTACAACAACCCATTTTAAAAGCAACCAAGTACAGATATGTAGCCAAATGTATTCTGTTCTAAGCATGATGTCCTGTCTTTGCCTGTCAGCCTGGGCTGCTTTAGGAAGAAGGGGAGCACTCACCGCAGCGGGGTGCTGTCGTCCTGATGGGGAAGGCGGTCTGGATCCACAGCCCCCGCCTTGCCCACCCTTGGGGCCAGAGGCTGGTCCTGCATTCCAGAGCCAGCAAAGCCTGAAGGAAGAGGCTCCTGCCACAGCCTCAGGTCCGAAGCACTGGCCACATCTGTGTGGCTCAAACGGGAGGGCTCCCTCTCTGGGTCTGGAGGTGAGGATCGGGGAGCTGAGGGGAGACTGGGAATGTGGGCCAGGAGAAGGCCTGGCAGGAAGATAGGAAGGAACTAAGGGCTGGGTGAGGGCCGGAAGGAAGGTGTGTTCAATGGAGCATCTCCTAAAGCAAGAGGCCTTCCCCGCCGTGGGCCGTGCACGGGGATGACTGACACACATACCTTCCCTCTCCTGGCCTCTTACTTGGCGCTGCCCTGGCCTGCTGTGCTGGCATCTTCCTTTTGCTCCACTTCCTTCCCTAAACTGACTCTCCACCCTGCTCTCTGCCCGGAAGCCTGACCTGCAAGGTTACTGCAACAGGTTCCCTTTTCCTCTGCTTTGCGACTGGCTTCAGCGGAGGGACGAGACGGAGGGGGGAGGAAGGGAGGACATGAAGGGAGGACATACCGGCTCCACACAGCGCCTCACCTCACCCCTTTGGGCTTAGGCAGTGGTCGGCAAACGCATGAGTCAACAGAGCCAAACATCAGCAGTACGGCGATTGAAATGTCTTTAGAGAGCCCCATTTTTTAAACTTAAACTTCTTCTAACGCCACTTCTTCAACATAGACTCGCCCAGGCCGAGGTATTCTGTGGAAGAGCCACACTCAAGGGGCCAAAGAGCCGCATGTGGCTCACGAGCTGCAGCTTGCCGACGGCACACTCCCTGTGCTTCCTTACACCTGCTCACACCGTGTAATCAGTCTCCTTCGTAAGCCTTCCTCGAATCATCCCACCTATGTCCCTGTCAGACCCTGACTGAGATAAACACTCACCTGACTGCTCACATGTCCAGCGGGACTCGGGGGAGCGCGGTCTGGGGATGACAGGTGAGGCTGTGCTTCGCCCGATTGCCGGGTGAGAGTCTGCCAAGATGGGGCTTCCACCTGTGCGTCATTAGGCGGGCACGTGCCAGCCAGCAGAGGCCGCCCCAAACATGGAACCGTGTTCCTGAACTCCCCTCACAGGGCTGAGTAACTCCCGCTCCCCCGCGGACAGAGGGGCCCTGTCCCATGGATGCAGAGATGACCGCCCAGGGACGGCTCCCAGGATTCTGCACCCACTGGTAGAGTCAGGTGCACGTGGTGACTATTCTTTGCTGTGTTTCCAGGTATTTTGGGGAATGCACATGGTAGTTTAACAACGAGAAAACAATAGTTTTGGGGAAAAGGAGAGAAGGTGGAGGCGTGGCGAGGGCGTTAACACACTTGCCGTGTGAAAGATTCCTGCCTTCTCCTGACCCTCGCCAGCCCGCCTTCCTGAGGACTCAGCTCGGCCTTAGACTTGGCACGTGTTCTCTCTGGGCCAGTGAGAGGACAAGGTGAACGCGCCGTGTAAACCCAAGTGCCGGAGAGCTGACCAGTGACTTTTATGGTTCCCTTTGCTCTTTGGTCCTGCTGATAGTCAGACCCCACCCAGCAAGCCTGCCCGGTCTGTCTGCTGAGCCTGTTCCCCTAGGCTGACCCCTGGGTTCTGGCAAGGCTGGCTCCTCCCGGGGAAGCACTCGCCCTGCCCGCTGCCCGTGCCGGGGAGTCCAGCCCTGGCTGCAGGCGTTGGCTCTGCCCACTCACCCCGGGAACCGGAACCAGGGCTTCTGCTCCCTGGGCCTGGCTCCCTCGAGGGACAAAGTGGAGCCTAGCCCTCCAGCCTCAGGACTGTGGGGCTGGGGAAAGGAATTTCCCTCTGTTTCCCCTTCCCCTACCCACCAGCCCCTTCAGCAGCTGAGAGGGGGAAGGCTCGGGCCAGAGCCTCAGGTCCCTTTGAGAAATAGAGTGCCCCCTGTGGGAGGGTGGGAGGGTGACCCAGGAGCCTTTGGCTGAAGGAAAATCATTAATTAAATCGAACGAAGGAAAATCATATGTTTTCTATGGACTTTGTCTCACGGTCATTAGTGTTGCTGGCAGGTGTGACTTTCTCCTCACAGTGGAGCTGACACAGACCAGGCTGCCCCTCAGGGCGGGCCCAGGCCCAGGGGAGCCCAGCACCAGCCTGGCTCAGTGACGTGTCCTCGGTAGAGTCCAGAGCAAACGACACAGCTCACCCATGAGTGGGAAATGGCTTCACTTTAAATGTCCACATTGCCTGAAGTACACACATAACCATATAAAATCATTTTTATTAAAATATAAAAGTTTTCCAATATATTGCATTGAAGACATTTATGTAGAAAAAGCAATTGCAACGAACATGCTACATTGGCATTGAGATATCCTGAAAGCTTAAGTGCCCACTTTTAAACAACGTTTTGGTATAATAAGCATATCCTCATATATTTCAGAGGGTACATATAATACTGAAAAATACTTCATGTAAAATCTAAGTTTATGTGCATACAAAAAAAGTATTACACTGAATAGCTTATTTCAAACTGTGAAACACATTCAAAGTATTCACCTTCTTAGACAACATGCAAACATTTTAACATTTAGATTGACATTTTAAATATATAAACCATAATTCTTTATAACTTTATATCAGAAAAGAAAGTCAGACAGAACACATATCTACATTGTGCATGCCACGAACGCAAACGTGTCTTCAAAACGGAAAGTACTGGGTTAATACACATGATTGTCACTTTACAAATATGGCTATTCACCTTCTTCATAATAAAATAGGAAGATCATGTATTATTTACATGAACTACTAATTATTTCATTTTTGGCAATCACTTAAGTAGCAGCAATTGGTTTAAAGATCGATGTTTAAAAACTCTGAATTCACCTCGATGAATACTGAAGAACATACATCTGGTTAACATAAAAATGCACAATGCAAGATGCTTTGATGCGATAGAACTTCTCCCTTTCATCAAAGTCACAGACTCACGCTTGTAACCACTGAGACTGTGAGTTCTAGTTAGTTAGCTTGCTTTCGCTTATTGCAATAGAGGGGTTCCTAAGTAAAAGCTGTAAATAAGGCTGCCTGATGATCTACACGATAGTTCCAAAGATGCTTTATCTCCGTTTCATACTGTAATGCAGGGGCTCCTCACTGAGCAGGTAATTGTCTGTAAACACACACACACACAAACACTAGGGGCCCCTTAACGCTCACAGGAACTCTAAAATGAAGTTCCTGCGACACAAAGCCCACAGCCGAGTGAGTTATCTTTCTAAAAAGTGATCATCTCATTCATCAGTGACATGGAACATGTCTTAGAGGGAGGGACCCACCTAAGGAGCAACCTGTGAACCGGCAGGCAGTGACCCACCAGAAGAACCATCCTCTTTTCATTAGTATTTGGAGGGAAATTTTTAACATTTATAAAAACAAAACAAAACCCCTACTAATGTTGGCAAATTAAAAAAAAATACTGTGTGGCGAACAGAGGTGATGAATGCTTTGACATGGCCACTCTTCAGCTTCGAAGCTGCATTAGGAAAGCAGACTGAGGAACATTCTGCATGTTCTATGGGCGGTCAGCTGTGGGCCTAGACTACGTGCAGGGTGAAGCCCAGGGTGAGGAGGAAGAGGCAGGAGTGGCAGGGAGCTCTGGCCCGGACGCCCGCCGACGGCAGGCTGCTGGAGACCTGCACCTGGGAAATGATGAGGGCAGAGAGGGGGACGTGGGAGGCCAGCGTAGGGCTGTCAGAGTTGATCAGGGATTCGATCTTCTCGGCTTCTTTATTGCAGGCCTCAATCTAAGAGAGGAAAGCATATTCTCTTAATATAAAACCATAGTACCCATGAAAAGGTCAAGTCAAATTCCACATCTACTTCCACATGGGGAATATGCTTTCACTTTGTCTTTTTCTTAGCCAAAGTGGCCTTTAATTATAGTCTTAATGTATTATATAAATAATAACAGCATCAACGGAAATCAAATCAGAAATGAAAGGATCCACAATGCCACTGTCCTTTCTTATCCACTGTCACTGCTTATGCACACTCAGACATTAGCTTCTCATGGTTAAACAGTCATAGGGAATGGACTTTCATGCCTGTTCACACATCCATTAGACTGCAGGAGCAATTAGAGGCGAGCAATTAGACTGAACGTGCTTTCTAATGATGGCGGTTCAGAGGCCGCTCGCCTTCCCTCCTTCGCTTGGGCCCTCACTATTTTGGTCCTGGAACTTGGAAGTCTATGTGAGTGAGGTTCACCTCGATATTGTGGGGATGAAAAACGGGGGCCCACAAGACCAGCTCAGTGGGCTCCTCCTCCCCAGCGGGAGCACGGACTCAGGAGACAGGCGTCTGTTCTGCTTTGTCACCGTGCGACCTGTCTCTCCCTCGCCTCCCTGGCCCAGCTGCCTGGTCTGTAGGATGAGCAGATGCATTCCGTCTGCCCACACTCAGAGTGACAGCATCTCAACCTCCCCTCCCCCACTCAGCATCCTGCTGTCGCACGTGCACCTGGCCCCTCGCCTGGCAGAGGGCTCGCGGTGCAGCTCTGGCCCTCAGAGACGCCCAGCTGCTCCCTCCGGCCACCCCGATCCTCCCCCATCTGGTCTGTGCCCACCCCCCGCCAAGGCCACCACACTTGAAGGTGACAAGATGCTGCACAACCGGGTGCTGAAGCCCACCTGCAGAGCTTTTGGAGAATGATCGACAGGAATGATCAGGATCACTATTTCGGATTCAATGCTGAAGTATCCAAAGACGTCACACTGTGGGACGGACACATGCATGCGGATTTTCTCAAGTATGTCCAGAACGGTTATCGGCTTTTTGTTCGTTACCTAGAAAGAGAAGATACATTCCGATGATCAGAAGAAAAGAATTCCTCATTACTGCCTAAGCCAGGGAGGCTGTTTTGGCCAAGGAACCTGTAAGGGCGGGGCCGTGCCAGCTGGATTTAAAGTGGCTGCCAGTGGGGTTCTGCCTGCCATGGAGCGCTACAGCTAAAACAAGCTCTCTCAGCAGACGCACTGTTTAAACGGGACCGTTCTGAGGATAATGGGGACCTGGGGGTGATTTTTCGAGGCAGTGACAGGTACCGGCTGCTACGTGTCTGGGAGCCCTGTCTCCACAACAGTGGGCGGTAAAAGCGATGATACAGAAAAGGAAAAGAGGCAAAACTCTCCTGGGCCGGTGGCTGGCTCGGAAGCAGCCCGCGGAGGAATGGGGCCGTGTGAGGGCAGGCAACCCTGAAACCCTCTGGCACCTCCCAGTGTCTGGCCGCTTGGTTTGCCTCTGGCCCTCACCCGCTTCCTGTGCCAGGAGGACCTTTCCTCGAAAGGCTCGGGCCGTGCTGCTCGGAGCAAGGGCGCCACCCAGCCAGGGGTTGAGGAAAGGAGCCCAGGATCGGAGCCAGACGGCCGGAGTTCAAACCCTCCTTCTACCGCTTGAGAGCCAAATGGCCTCGGGCATGCTGCTTCTCTTCGTCTATAAATAGGACCGCACACTCTGCTCTGTAGGATTACTGCGGTTTACCAATAAGGTTTCCACCTAGCACCTAAAGCAATTTACCTTGGCAATTGTATCCAGTTTTTCTTTGTCAAACAAAACTCTTAGCATCCCAGCACACAGTGGGCAACAAGCACCTGTGCAACAGAAACAGCATCGTATGTGGTCAGAATTAGAAACAAGGACACAAAACAGCTGGTGACATGCCCAACCCTTCGCTCTGTGCTAGGAGAGGTACAGCTGGCCTCCCTGGTGACTGCCCTTTATGCCCCTGACCAGCCTGGGGTCTCACAATCTATGCATTTACCCACATCCGTCCTCCATCGGCCTCCCCCTCCACCGCTTCTCAGGGCGAGGAGCCGTGCTGTGAGGCAGCCCAGAGAGACATGCAGCCTGGACCTGCCCCGCTTCAGCCTTACTGTGACCCTGGGCTTTGAATTCTACCGGCAAAACAAGGAGCAGGTACTTCAGGGATTCCATGGGTGTTTAAGGCTAATATAACTTTAAAAAACATTTTAAACTGTTAAAAAACAACCAAATATCAGAACAAGGTCTCCCCGAGGAAGGGGGCTTTGGCTTCATCACTGCTGAGCCCCCGGTGACACATAGTGGAAGCTCAAAAAAAACAATTGATGAATTCATGGGTGGAGGAGTGGACTTGCTGGTCTCCACACTAATCTGTTCTGATCTGGGATAAAGTCTCCTCTGCCTGCTCTGTTTAACTGAGGAGTAAGAGACTGCAAGGTAAGCTATTTAAGAAAAACGGTTATCACTTATAATAGTCTTTTTACAAGACTTCCTCCATTATATGCAACTAAAACAACTAAATTGGATGCTAAAGCCAATCTGAGACAACAACTCTCTTCTGTTTTTATCTTGAATCATGTGGACTAGGCCTTCATCAAAACTACTTCAGTTATTCATTTGTTAATCACTAATTCTTTATTCATTAACTTTTTAGTAATATATAATTTTAAAAGTAAACATACATTTGAACTAATAATCATAATTTTAGTAATTAAAAACTGCTTTATCTGTTTACATATAGGTGTTAGTATAAGATTTTGCTTGAAAAAAGTTTGCCATATTGTTTTAAAACCACTGGACCAGATGGTGTCTAAGGCAATCCACAATCAGTATCAGGTAGAGTAAAGATTTTTTGAACATTTTAAATAAGCCAGTGACTCTCTCCTCAGGGACTCATTGGAGGCAGATAATTAAGGCTTCCCAATCCTGTCTCCTCCCCCTCACCCCCCCACGTACCGGGTGGGACGATGGGTTTGCACTCAGCTGCGGAGAGCGAAGGACACCTCACGGCAGCACACTCGGTGACAGAGCTGTGCTCGGAGAGGACGCCGACGGCCTGGCAGGGCCCCTGGTAATCCACGGCCACGCGGTCCGAGTAGGCTGCGCACACGCTACGGTAGGTCTCCCCGTTGTGCCCACAGACGGGCTCCGTGGCTCTGCAGAAGGGCTGAGGGCACATAAGTCACACTGAGCCTGGACACCTGTATGGCGCACTTTTCCCAACCAAGACCACAGAGTAGGTCTCCCCACTTTCAGGAAGGAGGAAAGATGCAGGTAAAGTTCTGGGGACCCTCTTATCAAGCTCCTGAGGTGGGCTACCCAGTGTGGAGGGGACAGGCGGGCTGTCCCAAAACGAACTGGAGCGATGACTGTTGTCAGCTGCTCTGGGGCTTGGTGCTCACTCATGTGAACCAATGTGAGATAAAACTCCCCCTCCCGCCGAAACCGGTTTGGCTCAGTGGATAGAGCGTCCGCCTGCGGACTGAAAGGTCCCGGGTTCGATTCCGGTCAAGGGCATGTACCTTGGTTGCGGGCACATCCCCAGTAGGGGGTGTGCAAGAGGCAGCTGATTGATGATTCTCTCTCATCAATGTTTCTAACTCTCTATCTCTCTCCCTTCCTCTCTGTAAAAAATCAATAAAATGTATTTTAAAAACAACAACAACAACAAAAAAAAACACACCTCCCACTCCCTCAGACTCCTATCATTCCAGAAGTGCCTGTTTGGAGAAAACAAAATCCATCTTCATGCAAATATGGAGGCTTTCTCACTTCACACTTGGGAAAGGGGCAAGGAGAAGGAAGAGTGCAGAGATCCGTGGGGCAGAGAGACTCGAGACTCACCAGCAGGTGAGGACTCTGTGAGAGAAAGAGCCAGGAAGAGGGCACAGAGAAGAGAAGACTGGGAGTTCAACAGCAGGTGTCAGAAGACAAGCTCCGGGGAGACAAATGGAGGAAGGGATCTTCCTGACAATGAGGAGCAGGAGTGAGAAGCAATCAGGCCAGGCGTTAGCTGCCTGTGGGCAGAGCACTCCCGGGGAGAGGGGCCAGCACACAGAGCAGTGGTGTGTGGGGGAAGCCTCAGCAAGGTTGTCCTTGAGGTTATTCTTAAAACATGAATACAGATTCCACAACCTTACAAGACACAAAGATACAGACACTGTCTCAGAGAAATTTTTGATTAATCTCAGTGATGTGATAGAGACTTCACAGAAGTGGTTGGAAAAGGACTCCTTTCTTGGTTGTTTTGATGCCCGTTCTTCCTGATTTGTTTTCGAGTGAGGCCCACAGAACTATGGAAAGGGAAATGGTGCGGACTCGTGCCGGGGGTGTGAAACTTTAGATTCTTTTCCTATAAGAAGCCACTCTCTTTTCTTGCTTATACACCAGATGGGCAAAGGCACACACACTAGCAAGGAGGTCCTCCGGATTGGGAGAAAAAGCCGTCTTGGGCTGAGTTCTCTGGATGGGACAGGCTCACAGACGACCCTCAAGTGTCTTCCTGCTGATCCACCTGTAAAGACCTTAAGCCAGTCTGGTGCTCTGGCACGTGGGCTCGTCAGCTATACACCAGTACCTGGCACGGGCCTTTGTACAAGAGGCTCTTCCCTCGCTGGTACAAAGTGCAGAGATTGCTGTGCTCCATGTGGTTTGTGTCACAAACAGGATCTCGGACCTGGTCGCAGGTGAGCTGTCGTGGCAAACACTCGAACTGGCTACACCCAAATTTGTCAAAAGACGTCAGGCAGACTTGTGGTTTGGGTATGCATCTGAAAAACACAAATGTGCACCAGGAGTCAGGAAGGACCATGGGGAGGGGGCGGCAGAGCACTGACAAGGCACAGGAGGTCAAGCAGGAGAGAAACTGAAAACACTTCCTATCCCCAAGAGCTTGTGGAGAGCAGGAGGCAGGCACTCACAGAGTAGCTATCAGGGAGAAAATCACACACCCGTGCTATGGGAATCAGTCATCCTGTGTGTGTGTGGGGGGGGGGGGGGAAGGGGGGGGAGGGAGGGGGAGCCTGGAGAAAGCACGGAGGATAAGCAGGGCTGCACTGGCCCTGAGGGCAGGAGCAGAGAATGCACAGGTAGGAATGGCCTGATCTGAGGAAATCAAGTGGGGCTGCTGCTAGCAGCTTTGAACTCACTAATAAATGAAGCATTTTCAGGGATTTAATTTGTAGCCTGGCTAATATCAGTCTGTCTTAGAGAAGGCTTCACAATGTGTGCTGAAAAATTCAGGTTTCTGTGCTTAGAGTCGAGGGCCTGATGCTGGCTGGTGTGAGTCACTGAGAGAACGTCACTCCGTGAGCTGGGTTTTCCTGGAAACATCTGGACCTTGCTTCATTCTCAATTCCTGAACTAAGAAGGATTAGGGATGATGATTCTTTTCTTCTTTAGACTTTTCTGCTTCCCTCATTTCTAGAAAGAGTATTTATAATTTTCTACAGGAAGATAAAATGTTTAGCTCTCACTGGGTCTTTGAAATAACAGGACATACAAATATTAGTCTGTAAAACAAGGAAGATTATAGTAGCCAGCATTATTTAATTTCAAAGGAAATTACTTCTATCCTTTTTAGGAATGAGCCTCTTGCACTGAAACCACCACCACCACCACCATCACTACTACTATTTATGGTTGTCTTTTTTCATCTAAAATTAGATCGTGTGCAGTTATGGAAATTTAAGATATTTGAAGGGAAATAATAGACTGCATTTGAACTTCTGTCATGTTAAAGTAATAATAGTTAGGGGTTTGTATACAGTAGCTAGAGTTACTCACCCTAACTATTAAAAGCACCCTTTCTTTTCTTTTTAATTTACTTTTTTATTTGAGAGAGGAAGGGAGGAGAGAGAGACAGAGAGATTTGTTGTTCCCCTTATTTACACACTCATTGGTTGATTCTTATATGCCCTGACCGGGGATCAAACCTTGGTTTACCAGGACATGCTGATTCAAAGAGCATGTGTATTTCAAACTTTGGACAAACAATAACCAACTAACCAATAAACAATAACCAACCTGACATTTTTTCAAGTGTTTAAGAATTATCTGTTATTTCTTTTTCTATGTTTATGTCCTTGGTCCATTTTTCTATTAGGTTATCACTCTTTGCCCGTTTTTATATTAGACTGTTGATCTCTTTCAGATGGATTTGCAGGGACTCTTATATTACAAGGACATCAGCCTTTCTCTGTGATATTCTTCCCAGTTTGTTATTTGTCTGTGACCAGGAAGAACATTCTCAGTTTCATATAGCTGCATTTTTCAATCTTTTATGCTGATTTTGTATTATACTCAGAAAGGACATCCCACTTTTGAGATTTTATACATTTTTTAAATTATAAAACCAAGACTATCTATTAGAAAGATTAGCAAATAGAGAAAAACAAATAAGCAAATACAAAACAACCCTCAAGTCTATCTCCTAATACAACTATATTATCCTTTTGGCTTATTTCTTTATGTGTTTTTTTGTTTGTTTAAACAAACAAAAAAACACATGTTTTTGTTTTTTTAGCAGTCTGTCTTCATTCCATAGGAACTTTATTGCCTTAGTTTTCATGGTATAAACTTTGCCAGATGGGTCAATTCTCCTTGCTATTTATTTTAACATATCATAAAATCTTCCTCTCCCTCCATACTGCACAGAGTTTTAAGGATGGAGAGAGCCAATTGCTTGTTTCCACAAAGTCCTTCGTCAGGAAAGACTGTGGCACTGGGATGGCCCTGCCCAGGCCCACGAGGTGGCCAGGGAGACCCCGTTCTAGAAGGCGGCAATCTCAGAGGCAGCAGGACACTTGCCCTGTGGCCACCACATACAGAAATCCATGAAGGGTGGGTCAACTACATCCCGAACTCATGAGAAGACTGCAGAGAAAGGGGCCCCTAAACAAATAATTCCCAATAATAATGAAGTTGATTTCTCACATTCAGTTCTTAAAATGGAGTAGGTAAGCAAAAGAAAATTTCCCATTATTGTCGGGCATAAATAGCTAATACTTAGAATACATTCATTTCTCTCGTCTCATGTTACCCCTCCTTGCCTCACACTCTCTGTTGCAGTGTTTACAAAGCTGTTGCTATAGCTCCCAGCATACACTGTGCTATCTCCTCATTTCCAGCAGTCAGGATCTTTGCTCTCTGCCTTCGCCACCAGCACTATAAACCTTGCCCACACTGTCCCACTCATCTTTCCAGACGAATGTCACCTCATGAGGGCTTTCTTGGCCTCCCCCTGGCTGCCCCAGCTGCTCCCCTCCCCTCCCAGGCCCCAGTCACACAGCATGCTACCAACCAGCTTCCCATGACTCCAACCAGGCAGAGACCCTCTGAATTCCCCTTGGTATTTTCACTGTCTGTACAAACTAGATGCTTAGTAAGTGCTCGTCTTCAGTTAAAGGATGAGGAGCCATCTGACTTACCTTTGGTTTTTGGGGCAGGGGTTAGGATTACATGGGTCCTTTGAGATGCACGACCCGAACTCAAACTGCTGGTCTTGGAGGCCCACACAGCGAGCAATGCAGGCACTGGGGTAGGTGCGTCCATTCTGCCCACACACGGGGACGAACTGGTCTGCGCAGTTACAGGGCAGTCCTGAAGAGAGGAAACAGTCTCAAGATGTATACTTATCTTTTCCCCTTTCCCTGATATTTCCTCAGGAAGACAAACCACTAACAATCATGCAGAGGTCTCACATGGAGACAGATAGAAAATTAAGTTAAAAAAAAAAAAATCCCTACAATCTCTGAAAGGCAGCAGGCTCTGAGAAGCCATTTGCTGAGTAATGGCTTTCCTTTGTGCCATTTATTGCCAGGCAATTGAGGGCCCCCAGACTTGGATGCCAAGGTTAGAGACCCCTATAAACAAAGTATAAGTTGAAAAAGTAAAGAATGTTCCTACCAATCTGGAGTATAAAATCTAGAATTTAGAAGTTTAAAGGCTGGGTTGGGGGAATTCTAGAATGTATCCACCTTAGATTTTAGGTAAGCAGAATATGGACCAACAAGTACAAAAAACAAGACGAAGTAGAAAAGGTTATAACTCATCACATAGGTTCTTCCCATCTCCTTCCGGAAGGGGGAGAACAAGATTAAGTGGGAAAATTATTGTAGTTTTGAGACTTAAGAATTTTTATGAATCTCTCTCTCTCTCTGAGTTCTGTTTGGACTAGAACACTATCTGGGCACCAGACAATGTACATTTTGGGGCCAGTAAAACCTCCTCCTGAGAGTCTGCTAGCTAAATAGTGATTAACTTAATTTATCCCAGCACATGAGGGGCTGCAGGGAAAGGGGTCCTTCTAATTGTAAAGTCCATCTTTCAAAATCATTTAAATATAAGCAAATAAATAAGTCTTCCGGCTACATCCTTAGTTCACTCTTCATTCCTATGGAAGTTTCATGGTTTTTCTAAGCAGAATTACCATCCTCAGTAGAGCAAAGTAGATAAAGGATAATAATAAATAAAGAACAACAATTAGCAGTGAGGGCTGGTGCTTATTAGGATTGATAGAGGATGGGGCGGAGTTCATCTTGCCCATACTTCCCCATCAGCCTCCTGTTCACTTCCCATTTCCAATGTGCTGGAGACACAATGTAGGTAAACCCTCACCTGTTCTCCCCGACCCCATGCCAGGGAAAGAAAGATCAAACTGCTGTGGCAGAATGAAACCAGGGCAACCACCTGGTTCCCCTTCACCCAGAACCAGCGGTATTTCAGGCCTGGGAAAGAGCAGAGGCCAATAGGTACCAGCAGACCGTGCTGCTGCCGTTGACAACTGCAGCCTCATCTCAAGAAAAGAGCATCTCATCTCACCAACATTTTCACCTACTGTAGCTGGAGTGAGTATTCCAGTAGCAGAAAGCATGGGAAAGTCAAGAAAATATTATTCTTAATTAATTGTTCAGAAAAATTCTTATCTCAAAATTAAAATAATTTTCTTGAGAAATCCCTAAGGAAACAAGTGGAAAGAACCCATGTGAGGAGTTTACAGCCTTCTGTCTTGTTTTTGGAATTACCCTTTAACTCGCCAGAAATCCCCCAAGCCAGATTTCAAACATCCGAATTCTAGATTTTATACACCAGGTTGGGAGAAACAGTCTTTCATTTTCATACTTAAAGCTTGGTTTATAGGGGTCTCTACCTATAATGAAACGAACCAGTGGGCTAAACTAAGATAGGTCATGGAATAAAGAGGTGAGCCTGGCTGGTGTTGCTCAGTAGTTGAACAACAACCTATGAACAGGAAGTCATGGTTTGGTTCCTGGTCAGGGTACATGCCCGGGTTTCAGGCTTGATCTCCAGTGGGAGGCAGCTGATCAATGATTCTCTCTCCTAATTGATGTTTCTATTTCTCCCTCTCCCTTATTCTCTGAAATCAATACAAATATACTTTTAAAAAAAGGAGGGTGAGAAAAGCATCTCTCTCTATATAAAAGTCAAACGACCAGAACAACCAGTTGCTATGACATGGACTACAGTGTCCAACCATCCTGATCGGAGCCCCCATCAGCCCCCCAAATCTCCCTTGGCCCCTCCCCCGGCCTGGCCCTGCCCCAAAATGCCCCCCCCCCCCAACCCTGGCTGGCCAAGCCCCAATCGGCCCCTCCATCCCAATCAGGGGCAGGGCCAGTTGGCCAACCTCCTGTATCCCCTTCCTCTCTCCCCCCGCCAGGCTGGCCCCATGGCCTGCATCAGGGCAGGCCAACTGGGCCCCGCCCGTACACAAATTTGTGCACTGGGCCTCTAGTGAGAACAGAAACAAACAGAAAGTACACAGGCATTTTAGATCATGACCATACTTGCAGGGGTAAATGGGGTATTTTAGCAGGTAGAAAAGTTCCATTTAACTAAAACCATCCCAATCACCGACCCTGTTCTTTTTGCATGAAATTCCAGAATATTAGTGCTGGAAGGGCCCTAAAAAACCATTTTGTTCAATGCCTTTAATCCATAGATGAGGAAACAGATCCAGAGAGGGAAAGTATCTTGCTTTCATCTATAAAGATTATGTACTCATTTCACTGTGTATTTTTGCAAGTAAGGCAAGACCAGAGAAGCTGCCGGAAGGAAAAATAGGTACAAAGGGATGCTGGCTGTGGGGGTCAGCGCGAGTGATCACGGTTACCTGTGAAGGTGCGGCGGTCATCTTCTGAACTGTGCTCACTGAGGCACAGGCGGGTAGAGCACACCAAATTGCCAGCGAAACAAGAACAAACATTGCAGTCGATATTAAAGGATGTTCCATGACCTGAGGGAAACAAAATGTTGTTCCGTATCATGCATTTATAAATAATCATAAATCTAAAGTTTAATAGTTTTAAAATAGAAGTTCTTGAATTGACTTCTGAATATACAATTAGAGAATTAGTTAATCTGTATAGTTATATTTGTGTATTTCTCCCCCACCCTCTCCCCCAAAGCCCTAACGGGCTGGCCTCACCAGACTGCTCCCTATTCTCTGGCTGCTCTTCTGCCTCAAATGCTCTCCTCCTTCTGGGACTTCACTCATCTCCCCAGGACCAGCCCTGATGCCACCTCTGGACCTCAGATTCTCCCAGTGCCCTGGCAGAAATGCCTAGCTTCTTGAAGAGTGCTTGGTTTGCTACTTTTTGTGGCTCAAATTCTCTCCCCTCTTATCATGGAAAGCGTGACCTCGATCCCTCCTCTCAGTCTCAGCTCCACAGGCACTGGCATGCTCTTTGGAATAGAATAGGTATTAATCAGTGAAGGTTTATGAAGGAATGAATTTGTTTAGCCTTAGATATTTTCTGTGATACAAAGTACCTACTTGACTTCCCCCCCCCCCCCCCCCCCTTTTTTTAGTGAAGTAGAATATGGACTAAAAACGAATACCTGAATTGCTCGAGGGCCAAGAGCCAAGAGCACGCTTTTTTCAAATAAGGTCTCACACATAAAACTTTGCACAGTGCATGGCATATAGTTAAAAGTTCAATCAGTGTTAATTATTATTAGATTTTAGTCCTTTTTTGAGGAGGCTTTAAGAGAATTCCTCAGAAGTCCTAGTGTCCTTGTATAGTTTGAAAAATACTGCCCAGGAGTATCTGATTTGTAGACTTTGGTGAGAATCCATTCAATGTTCTTCCTACAAAGTTAAGATAACTAATCTCATATTAAAAACAGAAAACAAATAAATGCAGTTCAAGACTCACTTTTTCTTTTTCCTCCAACAATACAAGACTTCTGAAGGTCTATACAGTGCATCTCCATGCAGTTTTCTAAGAGCCCAGAATGTCCACAGGAGCAAATTTTATAACAACCAACTTCCGAGCCTGCAGACGACGGCACCTGGATTAGTGTCCCTTGACGGACGATGAAATCAGAGGCTTCTCCCAATTTGCAACCTGTGCAAACAAACATTAGCTGAGAGAGATGGTTTTGTTCTGTGACACTATTTTATGCATAGATATACTTCATATAAGTCTTATAGGTTCTGTGTGTCTATTAAAGATTAAGAGACTTTTTCACCAAAGTAAGTAATTGTTTTGATTCACTGGCCAAAAACATATTCTTGCAAACAAAAGTTCCATGTTTTGTGAGGTGGTGGTGATTAAGGACTTATATCCCAAAGTTAGCTATATTTTATTTAAAATTGCTAAAAGATATGCAGTTTTTTTTTTGTTTTTTTTTTTGAGGCTTATCAAAGATATTTTAAAATCATAGATATTTTAAAAATAGAGTATAAAAACTGATAGCATTTTTAGGATAATTTTGGTCAGAAAACTTTTAGTGATACAATGTTAAGTATACCTTAAATTCTTTTTTTAAAAAAATATATATATTTTATTGATTTTTTTTTTTTTTTTTTTACAGAGAGGAAGGAAGAGGGACAGAGAGTCAGAAACATCTATGAGAGAGAAACATCGATCAACTGTCTCCTGCACACCTCCCACTGGGAATGTGCCTGCAACCAAGGCGCATGCCCCTGACTGGAATCAAACCCAGGACCCTTCAGTTCACAGGCCGACACTCTATCCACTAGGCCATACCAGTCAGGACAGTATACCTTAAATTCTCTAAAAATTGAATATCTGATTGGGCTTACGGAAAAACCATTAATTTAAAATTTTAACAAGATTTGTTATGACTCTATAGCTGGTAATATATTATGGTATTATGCACATATTATCGATGATCCTTTAAGACATCATGCTGATTTAATTTTATCTTTTGTTCCTTTTTATTTTACACACATTTAAAAGTTAAGTCTAACATGATATAGAAACATTTTCAACTGGGATATAAATAAAAGAAGGCACAATGTTGCCCCAACTATATTTTAAAGGAACTGACAAAGAGCTAAAGACTACAAAAATTGTATGGGCAAAAAATTTTTCAGCCTTAAAGTCATATACATTTCTATACAACATTAAATTTGTGGAGTTGTCCTAGCCGGTTTGGCTTAGTGGATAGAACATCGGCCCATGGATCCAAGGGTCCCGGGTTTGATTCCAGTCAAGGGCATTTACCTCAGGCTCCTCCCTGGCCCAGGTCCTGGTGCAGAAGGCAACCAATTAATGTGTTTTTCTCATAACGATATTTCTCTGTCTTTCCCTCTCTCTTCTACTCTCTCTAAAAAATCAATGGAAAAATATCCTTAGGTGAGGATTAAAAAAATAAATAAAAATTTATGGAGTAATTACACATCCCACTTGAGAATGCCTTTTCTCTAAATATTACAAAAAGGAAAACCACAAACAACATGCAGTACATATTCTCAAACATTACAACCCGAAGTACAAAGTACAAAAAGCTGGTCCAAAGTTCTTTTTCCGTCTGTTGTCAAGAACCATATAACCTTTATGAGAGCCTGGTTTTGGGTCAATATTAATTTATAATCTAAATGACTATTGAAAATTACATTTGTCTTTGTCATTTTCTGCTTACATAAATAACATGTTGAGTAGGAAAACCGCAAACATTATAGACAAACAATTTAGAAAATAAAGTCCCTTGTAATCTTCTAGGATAACTCCTAATAAAGAAATGCCAGCAACACACCCATAGTCATTCCACTCCCACCCCCATCTACCTCTTACCTTGAACACAAGAGTATGGGAGGCAGGGATCTCCAGATGGACACCCTTTCCGGTTCACCTCACAGAGCTCATTAGCAGGGCAAGGATTGGGGTTACAGGGATGAGTCACCTCTTCTACAATGTTACCTAAGGTACTTGGCCCTGAAAACAAAAACACAGATCAGTTTAACATAAACAAAAGAGTAGCAGAGGTCTGTAATTTACCTCAATTAATTATGTATGAAATAAATGGACAGCTGATAAGCATAAAGCAAGGCCCTATTCTAGTAACTATTAAAACATCCAGATTTTCTGGCCATTTGTGAATTTAATACAAACATACATTCATTCGTTTACTTGGGTATATACCGCGTTTCCCCGAAAATAAGACATCCTCCGAAAATAAGACCTAACGCGTGGAAAGATAAGACATCCCCTGAAAATAAGACCTAGCGCAACTTTGGGAGAAAAAATTAATATAAGACACTGTTTATTTTCAGGGAAACAGGGTAGAATACTAGAGGCCAGGTTCAATTCGTACATTCAGGGCAGGGGGAGAGGGGGAGAGAGGGGAGGGAGTAGGAGGGATCCCTCCGCCCCTCTCCCTGAAGCCCTCAGGGATGTCCGACTGACAGCTTAGGCCCGCTCTCCGCAAGGGACATCCTTAGCGCTGCTGTGGAGGTTGGAGAGGCTCCCGCCACCACCACTGCGCTGGCCAGCCGTGAGCCTGGCTTCTGGCTGAGTGGCATTCCCCCTGTGGGAGCGCACTGACCACTGGGAGGCAGTTCCTACACTGAGCATCTGCCCCCTGGTGGTCAGTGCGTGTTATAGTGACTGGTCATTCCACTGGTCAATTTGCATACTAGCCTTTTATTATATAGGATGCCTGCCAAGGTTCTAGGTACTGGAGATATAGTAGTGAATAAAGCAGACACACCTGAACAGTTTATATTTTGGTCTGGTCAGGAAATAGATAATAGAGAGAGAGGGAGGGAGAGAATTTTGTGAATACATTCGTTTTGCTTACTTGATTTTAGGCCAGACTCAGACTTTAAGGCTGATAGAGGTAGAAGGGCTACTGGAGTTTCTCATCCAGTCCAATCATTTATAAATATGGAAGCTGAGGTTCAAAGGTGTGGTCTGCTCAAAGTCACAGAGGCCTATGATTCAGTCTAATGCTTTCATTTTTTGTTATACTAGTCACAAAAACTAAGGGAAATATATAGTTTTTGGTCTTGAGAAAATATGGCAGATATTTCATTAGAACTCCAATTTTACTTAGGATGGCAATGGGCCCACAGCTAAAAAGGTAACCTTACCCGCATGACCACCATCCAGAACTGAAATATCATCGCTGACATGTACACATAAGGAACTGTTTGACATTGAAATTGGGTCTCAAAAGAACTGGTGGCCCAGAAAGAAGCTCACTACAGACTGATTCATATGCTTTTCAGCATAACGATTATTGTTTGTCTCATTTTTTATTCTTATAAGTATATTTCCAGTAGGACATGATCTCACTCATCTAGGGGAAATGGTGAACAACATAGACGGATGAACAAGAACAGACCCAGAAATAAGGAGCCATGGGTCAGACTGGTGGACCTCAAAGGGAGGGTGGAGATAAAAGGGAGAGATCAACCAAAGGACTTATGTGCATACACATGAGCCTAACCAGTGGTCAAGACAATAGGGGGGTGGGACATGAGTGTAGGGGGGTGGGGGACTGGAAAGGGGGATTGAGGACAAATATGTGATACCTTAATCAATAAAGAAATTAATAAAAAAAATAAAAAAGTAAAAAGGTAACCTTTCCCAGTTTCCCTTACAATTAGGGGTGGTTTTCCCTCACACTAGGATATGGTGGCGAGAATTCCAGCAGCCATGTTGTGATGATAAATTACATGAAGTAATTTTGATGATGGAAGCCAAGCACTAAAGATGATGGAGCAAGAAAAAAGAACCTGGATTCCTGATGATGGAACCATCATAACAGCCCTAGACTATATCTTTGTGGGCTTTCTTTTACTTCTATCTGTTCTGTTATTTGCAATGGAACTTAATCCTATCTGACACAGAAAACAAAGCAGGAGCTAAATTCACTCTTTCTGGCCAGTTCATGGCACTAATGCCCCCTGGTGGCAGCCTACACACTTCTTGGTGTGCAGGCGTTCCACTTGTTACCCCTGGTTTCCACCATACAGTCTCCTCCTGCCAGGAAGCTCGGATCCAGGATCCCTCGATGGGATACCAACATTTTCTTCTAGCTCTCAGCAGGAGTATTTGGCAGAGAAAAAAGTTTCACTTCATTACAAACCATCATTTGTTACTCCCTGTTTGGTGGGTGAGTCCAGCCAATGCATAGCTAGGGGAAATTCCACTTGCTAGTAAATTATGGCAAGGAGACAGCAATGATATGGAACTGGTTATCTGAGAATGTTGGCCCCTGGCTCACTGCTTAGAATTCCTGATCCCAACAGCTCACTAGCTCCTCAGTCTGATATAATAATTGCTTCTGTTTATATATTTTAAAGATGACAATTATTTCCAAAATGGCCAACCAAGTAAGATAAGAGTCACCAATTGAGAAAGCAACGTTAAACCACATGTTCATCCAAAGCAAACATTAAGGGCAGAGATAAAAGGGAGACATGTTTGGAAGTTTAAAAATCTTACTGAGGTATGTATCCAAAGGTATACAACTCTCCAGGTCATCTGTAGGTGACAGAAGCTCACAAATACTTTCAGCTGTATGGTCTTCAGGGAATTTGTTCTGGTCCCCACATTTCTTGAGAATTTCCACACAGTCTGATCTTAAAAAGGAAAATACATACAAATTTAGGGGTCCAGGAATCTCCTCATATTGTCTAATCCAGTGGTCACCAACCGGTGGTCCGCAGACCACTGGTGGCCTAGGAGGTCTGAAGGCTGGCGACTGCTGGTCTAGTCAATACAATTCTTTTTCTGAAGCTCTCTAGAAAGTGCATTTTATTTTTTTAAATGTTATTTTATTGTTTAAAGTATTATAAATAATAGTACATATATCTCCTTTTTCTCCCCATTGACCTTCCCCCGTAATCCCCTCCCTCCACCCTCCAGTGTCTTGCATCATTGGTTATGCATACAAGTCCTTCGGTTGATCTCTCACATCCCCCTCCACCCTCCCCAGCCTTCCTGCTGTAGTTGGACAGTTTGTTCAATGCTTCTTTGCCTCTGTATCTATTTTTGTTCATCAGTTTATAATGTTCTTTATATTCCACAAATGAGTGAGATCCTGTGGTATTTTTCTTAGAAAGTGAGTTTTAATAACAATATTTCACACTTGGTTAGGTCTAAGTATAGCAAAAGAGAACAGGAATCACAGCACACTTTAGGTTGAATACCCTGTTTCCCCGAAAATAAGACAGTGTCTTATATTAATGTTTTCTCCCAAAGTTGCGCTATTTTCAGGGGATGTCTTATTTTGGGGGAAACACGGTAGTAAGCAATGTATTACACTATGGAAGCATCCCAAACTTTCTCTTAAGAACCTGAAATCAAAGGCCTTGCTCAAATTTTGTAATTATACTTACTGTTATTAACATCATAGTAGCTTTTCACTTTTTGAAAGGACATTAACTTAGGCTAGTTGATTTGCTCTTTGCAAAATTATACCTCCTTTCTCTTAGGACCTTATGCATGCTTGCTTTTCCTCTCCTTTTCTTCTTTATAAAAATATTCTTTTAGTTATAAACATTAAGGTGTTTGGTCTATAACATTTAGAATGCCCACTACTTCATTAGGGATTTGACTCCTATAAGTTTTCTATACTAAGAGTCTATAAATTTCTCACATGTTGATACTTGCTTGTCATCCAATAGTTACCCTCATCTCTCCCCTAATCAGGTCATCCCCAAATCATGTCAGAGGATGGATCTGAACCCTGGTTAAAACTGAAATAATCAGCAATCAGTCATTAAGTGCTCAGCTGCACCAGCCACACAACAATTTAGGGGCTGGATATTAACTTGGTTTTGGAAAAACTTTTAAAAAAGTGTTTGAAAAGCAGCTGACATTGAATACGATGTAGTTAATGCTTTTGGCTTTCCACCATAGCAGCTTTCATCTTTATTTTGTCCTAGATCTCCTAAGCAAACCGCTCCTAAGTGTTTACTAGGAACAGGCCCTAAGGACTATATGCACTAACTCCTTCATTTATCAAACATGTGTCAGGATTATCTAATCCCCAAAGAGGAGAAAGAGGATACAAGAAAAAAGCAGGCAAGAAGAATAAACTCAAAGAGAGCCACGTTGAACAGAATATAAGTAAACAATTGAAATAAAAAAAAAATAGAATTGTGCATTGAAGATAATAAATGTTCGTTGAATCAAGTTCTTTAAGATAAGTAAAAATAAAGGTCTACAGAAATCGGTACTAAGGATAGACTATCAGCAGGAGAAAAGTGGGAAAATTCCAACGGAAAGCAAGAATTTGAGAGGGGTTAGGAAGTACAGGCTGTGGGCAAATGGAGATGTAGGAAGAAATTTCAAGCAGAGGAAGAAACGTGGGAAAGCCTGTGTCCTGCGGGGGTGATGGGCAAAGGGAAGCAGCCGGAGAGAAGACTCCAATAGGCCATGGGTGAAGGTCATGGAGGGTCTGAACCCAAACTGGAGAGTCTTTATGATGAAAGAAACTTACTTGCAAATAATACTCCCCCGGGATTTACTATGACAAGGTTTAATCTGCAGGGAGCAAGCTATTGCTTTCCACATTTCTGGCTGGCACTTTTTAATGTCAAGAACAGGTATGTTGATAAATGGCATCTTTATGCTTCCTTTTTCCCATAGCTTCATGTCATTCATGGCTCCTTGATCTGACTGAGCATTACAACTCCTGAAAAGCTCTGTTGGCCTGAAGAGAAAAAAAGGCCAGATGGGATCAAGAGGCAATTACTTTATAGAGAGAAGCGATGGGTAACATTCTAATCAGAAAATCCTCCTAGATTAGAAGGAACTCTGTTACAGTGCTTCCTTTCCCAGAGAGGATTTGCCACATGGAGTAAAGCACTTAAAGATGAAACCATAAAGAAAGACTACTTCCTTTTAACTTAACAAAATCAGAATATAGTGGTCTTTTCACTTATTTAAAAACAAGAAAACCAAAGACAAAATATTTCCATTCCATGTACAGTGATTTGCTCCTACCTGTTGTTAAAATTAGTACAGTAAGTAAGGTTTCTACAGCCCAACTGGCAAGGTTCCCGAACATCTGCTAAACAGGTCAACATGGACACTTCCACCGGATTATATTCACAAAAGCGATCAAACTCTTGCCAACTCTGTGTATTGCCCCAGCTCATACTATAAAGTTTAGTGCACAGTTCCCTGAAATGAAAGCATAAATGCAGGAATATATAGGTAAGGCAAATGAATAAATATTTGATTTGCATAAACTTTAAATTCTAAATTTTAGAATATGTGAGCAAAAAAAATACAAAAACCAAAAGACTAAGATTTATCTCCTAGAATTTAGAGCCAGAAAGTGATCTTTTTCATGAAAGAGTTAGCTTTCTTATTACCCATTTCTTTCATTTTTTGCTATGGTTGCTAGAAAGCTCAGTGCTAAATTTAATGTTTAATTATAGTATTTGTACATCCTCGCTCTTGACAAAATTCGTGCGCTCCAAATTTCTGATTTCTCTTTTACTTTTATGTAAAGTTAAAGCATACAATTTTGCCTCCACAAAGATATATCCTAATATATAAAAACCCAGGGTCTGTAATGACCAACGGAAGGCTCAACTGAACACCAGAAGTCAGTCCTGGGTTGCCGTGGTGATCCAGCACTGACTGCCACGGGTGCGGGCATGTGGTCCCAGCACTGACTGCTGAAGGAGCTTTGGATCAGGCCTGGAGAGAGGCCCGATGAGAGAGGCAGGGTCTGATCCACAGCCTCTGTGGCAGCTGTCGATCAGCCGTTGCCCCTCTCTTTTTCTCCAGGCTTCACCAGCAGCCACAGCTGTTTATCACCTGGCCTTCACGGGGGCTGCTGATCAGCCCTGACTCTCTGATCAGGCCAGGAGATGCTGATTGGTATAGAAACTGACCAATCAAAACCAAATCTGGGTGAACTGTGAGGAGCCAATGGCTGCCTAGGAAGCAGAGCTTTTGAAGCTAACTGGCATAGAAATCACCAATCAGAACCAAATTGGCCAGGATTTTTTCCTTCCTTATTGAGTCAAGAACTTCCACCTTTTAACTCTTTAAGCCAGAAGCACTTTCTGGCTTCTCTTTGACATATCTGAATTGCCAGCATCTTCTAAACCCAAGTCTACACAATGCAAGAGTATAATAGATATTTGTTAGACTTAAAATCATTAGTTAAAGTGCTATTTTCTACTGATTTTAATAAAGGAAAATGAGATACTGACCTACATGTTGAAGTGTTTGCTTTAGAACAACAATGCAATTTAGCCCCATCAAGGCCTGTAGAAGGAGGAGGGTGCAGAGTGACCCCAGGGTGAACAGACTGTGAGCTTTCAAGAAAACACTGCCAAAGAGGATCCTGAGGCAAGGGCTGCGTCTTACAACCCTCGATGAGGCCGTCAACAATCTCCATTTCCGTTTTCTTAGACATTAGAATTCTCTTGCAGGCACTTTGGCAAGCATGGTCTTCAGCTCTGTCACAGCAATATAAACCTACATTTTAGGATATAAGTAGCTAAATTAGCTGGTTTTATGTCATGTACTACTCAGAACATGGTGCTATATAGAAACTATTATTTCTCTGAATCATATATCAATATCTGCAGTATACAGGGTCCCCCAAATTCCCTCTCCATTACTTTGTAGTATAGTAAAGATATTTACCAGGTATACCTATATACTAGTTATCTATTACTAGAACTCACCATATAAATCAAAACAATGGCATCTGACTTATAAATTCTATCAGTTTTTGTCAATTGGTTAATTAGTCAGCTTTTTAAACTTTGACAACCTGAAGAAAATTGATTATAGGATGTACAAGCTGACATTTTAAAAAATATCAGGATCTCATCTCATTTAATGATGTTTCTATAATATAACTTTTTATTAGTAAAAATTCAAACAGATACATATAATATAGAATAGGTATATACTAAAAATGTATCATATACATTTAGTTCTGCAACTTTTTAATTATATATTGAAATTCTTTCTATGTAAATAGTTATTATAATACATAGCTATATGATTTAGTTAATTACTATTGATGGATGTTTAGGCTTTTTTAATTTTCTCTAGTATCACCAATGTTGTAGCAAATATCCTTTATATGTATGTGTAGATAAGTTTTTGCCAATCTATAAGTGTTTTTGAAGGACAAAGTCTAAGAAGTAGAATTGCTAGATTAAAAGCTATAATTATTTGAAATTCTCATGGTTATAACCCGGCCCCCTCCTCCCTACAAATCTATACTAACAAATTCTTCCACCTCAGAATAGAGAATGCCCATTTTTTCATACCCTTGCCAGCTCTGTCTTTCTGGCATATTTTAGCTGTGATAATAATGTCCAATCTGTAAAATTTAAACAAATGTCCTAGGCTGCAGATATCTACAAACTTTACTTCCTTTTTACAAGTTATTTTACAAAAGATTGAAATGAGAGAAATATGTCCCTTTTACTTACTATCTGTTGGGTTCCTCATTGGGTAAGATTGGGTATAATTGTTCACACAGTGTATTAATTGTGGACTAATAGAGGCACAATAATTTTCCACTGCTTTGATCTGAGATGGGCCAGGAGAAGAGTCTGTTCGAAAAATGGCTTGACAGTATTCTCGGCAGTTTGTGTGATGGCCTGCATAGCTGCAACACACTGAGCCCACTGAGAGGGAAAAGGAGAGGACATTGAAATGGATCAGCTATTTGCTAACAATAAGTCATCATAATAGTGACAAAACAACATGTGTCTTTTTGAATTTTGGAAATAAAACCATGCCATAGAAGACAAGTACTTAAAATCAGCACTACTGTAGGCTTAGCCATTGGGACATTCAGGTGTTCACCAGTGTAAGAACGTCACTGTTGGTCAACTTACAGTCCAATGGCTTTCAGCAGGAGTAATACCACCCCCCAGGAGAATGTGAATGCGTATGTTAATGTTTCTGGTTTTCTGTTTCTGGTTTTCGTGACTTGGGGAACACTGATGCATTTAGTGCATGAGGGTTAGGACTATTAAATGTTCTGCAACGAACAGGACAGTCTCACAACCAATGTTTCCCGAAATGCCAATGGTGCCCATGTTGAGAACTACTAGGACAGCTTTCCACATTAGATTTGTGGAGATTTATTTATGAACAGAGCAAAGCAAAACAAATTAAATAAAACCAAAATAAAACAAAACCCCAAATGTCTCACATTTATAAAACAGGACCTTTAAAAACTAAGAGAGAGCCAAGCTGGTGTGGCTCAGTGGTTGAATGTCGACCTAAGAACCAGGTCACTGTCCAATTCCCTGTGGAGGCAGCCAATCAACGATTCTCTCTCAGCATCGATGTTTTTATCTTTCTCTCTCTCCCCCTTCCTCTCTAAAATCATTAAAAAATATATTTTGAAAAAACTAAGAGGTATCAGGATCATTTCTTAGTTTGACTATTATATAACTATATATTTTGAAACAAAAGCCTCAAAGTTCTACAATGTTTGAACATCTGCAAGAATATGCCTAAATTAAAATATCACCTCACAACTGAACATAAGATTATGTGCCAGAGAGATAGAAGAAAGGGTAGTGAACACAGTAAATTTGGTAGTAATTACAAGTCAAATACTTATGTGGCACAATAGGTATGAAACAATGTCCTTGCCCAGGGAACTGAGGCTTGTCCTGCATTCATTCAGTCCTAGTTTAATTAATTTATATATAATCTTATCATTTCTGGAAGTTGCCTGAACTCCCTGCAAATTCATCAGAAATCCGATTCTGGTTCCTCCATAACCATCTCTAATAATTATCAGAGATTTGCTACCTGCCATGTCTTGTCTTCCTTCAGCTTCCCACAGATTCCTTAGCTTCTCTATGAATATCTCTTGCGCTTTCCATTATCAATTCCACATTTGCACTACCCAGTCACTCATCTAGTTCTTTCAGATACTTTATTTTTATTTTTAAAATATATTTTATTGATTTTTCACAGAGAGGAAGAGAGAGGGATAGAGAGTTAGAAACATCCATGAGAGTCATTGATCAGTTGCCTCTTGCACACCCCCTACTGGGGATGTGCCCGCAACCAAGGTACATGCTCTCAACCGGAATCGAACCCGGGACCTTTCAGTCCGCAGGCCGACGCTCTATCCAAACCGGTCCCGGCTCTAGCCAAACCGGTCCCGGCTCTTTCAGATACTTTAAGTGGTCCTCTTGATTTTAAAAAATACATAAATCCAGAATCAAATGGGGGTTTTACTTTTCAAACTTGAAAAGGTTATGAATCGTAATGTAAACATCTGTGTTTTCCGATGCTAGCTATTCTCAATCTGTGGGTTGCGATTCATTAATAGTAGCAAAATTATAGTTATGAAGTAGCAACGAAAATAATTTTATGGTTGAGGGTCACCACAACATGAGGAACTGTATTAAAAGGTTGTGACATTAGAAAGGTTGAGAACCGCCGAAATCGGTTTGGCTCAGTGGTGGAACGTCGAAACCCGGGTTCGATTCCGGTCAGGGGCATGTACCTTGGTTGCGGGCACATCCCCGGTGGGGGGTGTGCAGGGGGCAGCTGGTCGATGTTTCTCTCTCATCAACGTTTCTAGCTCTCTGTCTCTCTCCTTTCCTCTCTGTAAAAAATCAATAAAATATATTAAAAAAAAGAAAGAATGGTTCAGAACCACTGCTTTAAGGCCATCTCGTGAAGTCACTTCTGAGCACTCCTGCAGGACATGATCCCTCCTTTCTCCGAAGTCCCACAGCACTCTTATCAGTGATACTATCCAAAAGCCAGAGTTGTTTATCTACAGGGTTTGGCCCTATAGATGTGTATTTGCTCCACACAGAGGAAGTGCCGTAGTGAAAGTCTGCTGACTGAACTGAGAGGCAGCCCTTGGCAATTGCAGCGTTGTATCATGTGGGAGTGCTTAACTTCTGAAAGTGATCCTGTTTACTCAAATGGGGTAAATACACGATCTTCCTCTGATACATCTAGCACTAGAATAGGACATGGGAATGAATGGCCTAGACACTCCAGAGCAAGGTGCCCACCAGGATCCTGCCGATCAGATGGTTTACTAAGAGCCTAAGTTATAATGCCAAGGTCTTGGCAGTATTTATAGCAGCTAAATCACAATCTGTAAATTGTGCTTTGTCCTTTGGACTGCTTGTGTAACCATCAATAATATACTTACTTTCATTTCTGCTAATGCAACTGAAAAGAGCATTCTGTAAATTAAAAACAAACAGAAATTAACAACCACACTGAATTTCTAATTTTATTTCACTTATGGTTATATGAAAATCAGTATGTCACAAACATTTAATTCTTTCTAAATGCAAGACTGAAAACAAAAAAAAAAGCTATAAGATGGCATCTAGTGAAAAGGGAGACCATCTTCCAGTACACATTGTCATCTGAGCCATAAACTGACCATGTTATGGCAAACCAAGTTTATGTAAAGCTGTTCCAATGCGTGTATTTGGGGGAAACTACCATATATTAATATCAATTATTTCTTGCAGGAATATATAGAAGTTCCAGAAAATGATATATAATAAAGGAGCTATAGGGAATTATATATATTTCATATAATCACTGCATGATAGAATTGCAAGAACCTTAGAAGTCATCTTTAATTTTTCTTAAACTTGCTAGGCACTAGTATCACCTGAGCATCCCAGGCCTTATCTTAGACTACAGAAACAGACTCAGGAGTGAGGCACCAACATTTAAACAAGGCTTCACAGGTGTTTCTTACACGGCCACTCTGTGGACTGATATTAAAACCTAGCTTCAAGTCCGGCCGGCGTGGCTCAGTGGTTGAGCATGGACGTATGAACCAGAAGGTTGTGGTTTGATTTCCAGTCAGAGCACATGCCAGGGCTGCGGGTTCCATCCCAAGTGGGGGGTGTGCAGAAAGCAGCCAGTCAATGACTCTCTCTCATCACTGATGTTTCTATCTCTCTTTTCTGCTCCCTTCCTCTCTGAGATCAAAATATATTTTTTAAAATAAAAATTTGATCTTACAAATAAAAAATACCACTCTGGATTAGCCTGTGGGATCACTTAGCTTAGAGAGGTACAAAAGGACACAAAATCTGAAAAATGTCAGAGACGATCTAATCTAACTCCTTATTTGACAGATGCCAGAGATAGGCCTAAAAAGGAAAATACTTATAGACCCTACCTTTGACCCATAGTAAGATGGTAGAATTGGGTAGAAAGAAACCATATGGCCTGCAAGCCTAAAGTACTTGCTGTATGGCTCTTTACAGAAAGTTTGCTGACCCCTGATTTAGAAGGGCACAGCTGTTTCTCTTGTCATTTCCAGAGTTCAGAAATATTCCCCAAGTATCTTTCACTTCCCTTAATGTCTACTAATAGGCCCTTCACAAATAGATTTACTCTAATCTGTTGAACCAAAAACATTTATATTTCCTCAGTGTTAATACTGTTTTTATATCTCTATCTTTGTCAATTACCAACTTTAATGTCTAAAAGAATGGGCCTTCAATCCTTCTCTTGCTTACTTCACACTCATCATGATTACATAGACTCTAATCATATCACCTTTTGTGATAAAAGATTTCTAATCTTAGATAACTATATTTAGGCATAAATTATATCTTAGGTAACTATACCTTAGGTAACTAAACGATAAATAATTTTACATTTCACTGTTTAATTACTGCTAATTAGTTTGACAGGGCTTAAGATATACACATAATTTATATTTTCTCATTTCTTTTTTTCAGTTTGTTTGTTTGTTTGTTTATTTATTTATTTATTTATTTATTTATTTATTTATTTATATTGATTTCAGAGAGAAAGGGAGAGGGATAGAAACATCAATGAGAATCACTGATCAGCTGCCTCCTGCATGCCCCCACTAGGGATCGAGCCCATAACCTGGGCATGTGCCTTGACAGGGAGTCAAACTGTGACCTCCTGGTTCATAGGTCAAAGCTCAACAGCTGAGCCATGCCAACTAGGCTTTCCTCATTTTTTTAAGATAGCCAATCTTGAGTTCTTAGTCAATAAAGTCTTTCAAATGTCTGATCGCCATCTGGTGGCAAAAATAGGAAGTAACTGAGAGTTTATAATTATTGGTATATAATAAATATATTATTAAATGGAGCCTCTTTTGACATTCTGCCACCAGTATTTTACCCAATGTCCCTCCTATAACAGTTCCCTCACCACTCATTTTACCCTACACTAGATCAAAGTTACAGTGTTACTGACGTGAAGATCTACCACATCAGAGACCAAAAGAACATGTCAGTATAGTGAAGTTGACAGGGTCTTAAGAGATCTTCAACTTCACTACACAGCTGGACATTACTGTGATAACAAATACAATACAGTACATCCTCACTTAACATCATTGATAGGTTCTGTGACTTTCACAAAAGAACACATAATGCTATTTACCATTGGCTAATTGGTATAAACAAGAGTTAAGTTCCTACACCATCTCTCACCAACATCATTACTAAACCATGTTGAATAAAATGTTATTCAATGATGTGCTATATTCAGTGCTTTCTCTACTCATCCAAAGAATGCCCAATTTATAGACATTTATACAAGTGTCATTTATTCTGAAAAAAAAAAAAAAACCTGTGCAAGTCAGCTGTCCAAAGAGAAAAAAGTCTCTTAAAAATCCCATATAGCCTAACTGGTTTGGCTCAGTGAATAGAGTGTCGGCCTGTGGACTCAAGGGTCCCAGGTTCAGTTCCGGTCAAGGGCACATCCTTGGTTGTGGGCACATCCCCAATAAGGGGTGTGCAGGAGTTAGCTGATGGATGTTTCTCTCTCATCGATGTTTCTAACTCTCTCTCCCTCTCCCTTCCTCTCTGTAAAAAAATCAATAAAATATTTTTTAAATCCTATATAATAAAAGGCTAATATGCAAATTAACCAAATGGCAGAATGATGGGTCGCTATGACACACACTGGCCACCAGGGGACAGAAGCTCAACACAGGAGCTGCTCCCTGGTGGTCAGTGAGCTCCCACAGGGGGAGCATCGCTCAGCAAGAAGTTATGCTCACGGCTGGCAAGCCCAGCAGCAGTGGCAGGAGCCTCTCCCGCCTCCATGACAGTTGGACATCTCCTGAGGGCTCCCGGACTGTGAGAGGGCGCACACCGGACTGAGGGTCCCCCCTCCTCCAAGTGCACAAATTTCATGTACCAAGCCTCTAGTTCTATCTATAAAAATACTAATTGTAGAGCCTTTTTACAGGCAAAAAAATTTTTGTTCATCCTTTAAGTCTTACCTGCTCTGTGGAGATTTCCCCATTACCCTGAACAGGGATTTTTTTTCCCCTCCAGGCACCAATGTGTCTTGTATAGACTTCTAGCAACGTACTTGTCTCACTATATTGTACTGAACTATTTGAATTTCTCTCTTCTCATGAACTAGACTATGAGTTTCTAGCATAGTGGCTAAATCCTTTTATCTCTGTAGCCTGAGAACAGTGTCTGACACCAATTAAGTCTATCAATTCGGTGAATGTTGAGTGAATAAATGAATGATAGATGCAAAAACAAAAGAGACATAGACTCTGCCTCCAGGAACTCAGAGTGTAGTATTAAAAAGTGGCATGTGAACAGAATTATAAGATACAAATGCTATATAATAAAGCATATAAAGGATTTAGAAGTAGCAATCAATTTTATGTGTGTGGAGGCAAGAGAACATGGCAGGGAGTTTTTAAATAGAAACTAAGTCAAAATTTGAAGCAAAGTTGCTAGTTGGATAGGGAGAGTGATGTGCCAGGATCGGCTTTCAAGGGAATTTGGGCAAGTGGGGAAAGAGTCCAGATTTTGCCATATTTGCTGATGTCCATGGCATTAATACCCTAATCACAGCTGCTTTCAAATTTAAAACTGGTTTACAAAACTCCTGAATATTTAATAATCAGTTCTCCCTAGCTAGTAAGATGCCAGTTCCATCATATCACTGAATGGGGTGTGACAGGATGGAGTCAGAAAGAGGGACTTCCAGGTAGAACAAACAGGATGTACAACTACAATTAACAAAACTCCTCAATGGCTCACCTACAGGATAAAGTTCATATTCCTCGTGATATACAAGCTTTTCTCTATCTAGCTCTGACTCTTCCCTCCCTTATGCAACTTAAAATTTCTGAGATTGATCACGTATTTTATTTAAGGGATTGATAGGACTGTATTTGGTCTTTCAAGAAACCATTCTAAGAGTACTGAAGGTAGTAGATAAAAGAAATTAGAGATAGGAAAGCTAGTTGGGCAGCTGCTGTCCAGAAAGTGATTTAAAGGCCTTAGCTAAGACAGTAATTGAAGTTCTGGAAAGCAGACTGATTTAAGATATATTTTGAAGGCAAATTTTTAGAGCTTGATAGCCAGTTATTTGTGGGAGATGGTAAGAAAGAGGAGAAAACAGACAATACCTCTTAGGTTTTTAGTTTATGTGTCTGGAACAACCAAGCAAGACATGTAAGAAAAAGGTTTTGTTTTGGGGCAGCACACATGTGTGTGCTTGTGTGTGTGTGTGTGTGTGTGTGTGTGTGTGTGTGTGTGGCGGATTATGCAGAAGGTAAGGAAGGAAGGAGGGGAACGAAGGTAGGGAGGGTAAGAATCAGTTTGCCTGATTTGAAATGCCAAGTACACATTCAGGAGCGATTCAGGAGTACTTAAACGAAGCTAGCAAAGAAGATTCTGGCTTTGTGATCATATAGGGGCAATGAAGTTATGGGGGAGTAGGTGAGATTGCCTAGTGGGGAAAACCTGGCCATGGAGATTAGGCCAGGTCATATTATAATCTGAATGATTAGATTTCCCTTTTGGGATGATCTCATTCAGGTGACTTCTCAGAAAAATGGACTAGAGAGGAAATACACTTGCACTGAGAGACTAAATAGGAGTTATTATCTCCCCCAAACTATAATATAAAGTATGACAAAATGAAACAGATACAAATGGAGCATAATCAAGGTTTTATACTATCTTAAGCCAGTACTGCAGGACCTAATCGGTTTCGCTCTTTTTGGAGCTCATCAGCTGCAGGTAACGGCTCAAATCTCCACTGATACAGTACATCCATATAGCATTTTACCATTTACCAAGCCTCCCATTCCGTTTCCTACTTACTATATCACAACAATTTCCAGAGTTTCCTTATCTTTACATTTAAGAATGCAAAGTACCCCAAGATTCTTTTTGTTAAGCCCCCACAGCTG